AAACTTTTCGATTCAAAATTACCAAATCAAACATCGATGGAACTATAACCAGAACAATAAACAACAGTAATTTCGATGAATTCTAGCGACATTAAAGTTAACTGGCCTCATATCGCAATCTTCATTTCACATGCATGTTGTATACGTACATCACATGCAAAAACAAAAAGAGAATATTATCATAATAATTATGTTGGATTAACGATACATCACACAATCAAAGTTCAATTATTGATCATTACCGACACATTAAGGAGAAATTAATATTAATTATGTGCTTACTCAATTTCGTTCGTTGGTTATAAAAATTCGTAAATAATTAGACGTTGGTTTGTGAATGTACATTTGCGGTTAGTTTATATTCAACCGGCGACGTTGATGATGAGAGTTTAATTAAGAATATTATTACGGGAAGAATGAGTTAATATGATAATTAGGCCATTCCTCGAAGACAAACCGTCCTACATATAGCTTGGATCAATGGTCACCGTCGAGCACCTTAATTAACCACTTTAGATGGATAATAACCAGTGACCTTGATTATAGATTTTGTAAATATGACTTAAATAAGGTTATCTGTAGTCGACCGTAAATCACGGGGTCTCGTTGTAAGTTTGTAACCATTTTCTTTAACCTTATTCTATCCAAGGTGTATGAGCTTATACACGTTTGGGTTTCTGTTATGGGTTTGATCTTGTAACCTTAGTCTTTACCATATTGGATTAGGGTTGATTTAGGTACTTCTCAATCTCTTTGTAATCTATAATCTATTCAAGTATAGTGAAACCGTCTCTTTCTTGCATTACCGATTATTCCAATCCGTTCTTAACCGTCTTATTAATTCTTGGCATACAATGTATACTAGTGGGTCAATTTTATGGCCTAAAATGTAAGGTGGGTTGCCTAGCTACTACGTTGTCATTCTGTGTCTGGCTTTTTCATAATCAGTTGTTAAATCATATGTGAGTTCTTTGGTTAGCAAAAGCCACATCAACAAGCACCACAACCCTTTTGTCGACTCATACCAAGAGAAAAACAACAACATCCAATGAAATTTGAACAGAATGGAAAAGGAAAGCAAACTATATTTTAACTTATTTCGAAAGAGTCTTAGTCGACGTCAAATTTAATTAGGTTAATGGGGCCATATAGATATGGACGACATGGCCAAGTTATATTGATATGTTTTGTGGCCAGAATCTGACCTAATTGAATTTTCAGGATGATGGATGTGTTTTAGAAAAACGAGTGAAAAGCATGTATTTGAATTTGGGAGATAAGTTTACGAATGTAACGATCAGAGATATATCAACATGATATTAATCACACTAGCTAGTATTTGATGAATTATTAGTGAAGAACCTAACTAAAACTCCACTCAAACCCAAAGGCCTCAAACTGCTCATATCTTGTGACCTAAAATCCTACAAAAAGCAAGTGTTACCCTTCACCAAACAACAAATTTCGAAAATCGTTTGAATCAGACCTTTTATTATTATGTCCATAAAATTACACTATGTTCGTTTCAAAATGAATCGTCCACAGAAAAATAGCATGGAGGAGAGGCTTTGTGAAACTCTATCAATCTTGAGGCCAATCCCCTCGTGCCAAGCTTTGAATACATCGAAACAAAGCCAATCCCCTCCATAAATCCCAGCCTGCAAACCAAAGCCTTCCACACCTCCATTTGTGTACTAGCAATGAAACAAAATATGGGAAAATGACACTAGCTAACTTGATTGATTCCCTTACATTGATTTATGATGAGTGAAATGGTACAAATGATGTTAATAAATGTCTTTTCAGTCACAAGGGGCATTTTCATAGAATTCAAAATTGACATTATAGCTAGGGTTACGACACAAATGAAGGTGAAAAAGAGAATGAAAAAGCTCATCATGGTAACTCGTACCTAATTTGCGATCTTATGTTATAGCATAAATCAAACAACGAGCTAGATGTCAATCCACCGCAGAATCGGTCAACATAAACGGACCTAACTTTGACCAATTCAAGCAAAAACAATTGATATATTAACAATGACCATTTACATATTCATCTTCACCTAAGTAAATATGTATTTCATTTCCAAAAAAATCTACTATATCCTCAATATTTAATAACTTGGAGGGTCCATACTAATTAAGGGGAGCCACGAATTTGATACTAATGAGATCAAAGAATAACCCAATTGCATGTAAAGTCAGCGGAGTGTACTATGTGGAATATTAAACAAGGTTGGTTTAACTTTGTGGACATGATGATTTCGTTTTCTTAATGATTTTATTAACAATGATGAGTGGTGATTAATCAAAGTATTAGTGACCACAATTACTATTGTATCCTTACCTTGTACTTAGGCTCTTGGTTAGTTTTTTCATATAATATTCCATAAATAAGTATTGCAAATAAAGTTTTTGGATTCATAGACTATATAATTGAGGTTGCCCTTTTAAATTTTGATAATCTTCCCTTTTGGGATTCACTTGGCGAGCAACTAATTGCTTGGTCCCGATAACTCGAATGCTGTAAGAGGGAAGACCTAAGAATAGATTTTATATCATTTTCTTATACGCTCTTGTCCGACAAAGATCAACCCATGAAATCTTGAAGTTTGCACAAATTCACTATTTTGTATGCAACTAAATCAATTTACGACGTTGGAAGTTGTCGATGTTCGAACACGATAATACCATGCAAAATAGTGGGGAGAATGTGATAAGAAATTGATCACACATGTAAGTTAACTTATGACATGATTTGTCCAACGATTTGATTCACGCCGTCCATAGAAGAGATAGAACTCTCCAAGGTGAGCTATTATTGGGGCCTAGTGGCTTATTGTGCATACATTCTTCTAGTTATTAGTAGTCCAAGTGTCATCCAAACAGTTGTGACTTTCCTTGGTAGCTAGCTAAAAATAAAATATTATTGAAACAGAGAAAATAAAAATGACATGTAAGTTTGGGATGGAAACAAAAAAAACAAACATCATGCATATGGGAATGGAACATGGAAGAATATTGAAGATTATGAAAGATTCAAATTGATGCATGATTCCTATTGGCACATCTGTTTTTTGCATGTTTGCTTGTGAAAACCAAATTTCTATTTCAGAATGATTTTCCTTTCTTTCTTCCTCTTTCATGAGAATTTTTTCTGAATGGGATTCAGACGCGTCTTATCCTTCATTTATAAGCAACGATTTAGTATCCTTAAGTAATTATGTATATATGATTAGTATGTAAATAGAGAAAAACCAGGAGAAATGCAACTCCGGATATAGATCACCGCTAGGTTAGTATTGTGATAATCTCTATACATTCATGCCATTTTCTCGATAAGATATTGGCATACGACTCTCTATTTATAAGATTTTGAAACTTTTCCATAGTAGTGGCATGTTGATAGTCGCTCTATTCAGCACTTTAAAGCAACCAAACTATACAAAGAAATTCAAACTACAAATTGACTCGACAATACTCAATATTCCAAGCTAACTGGAAACCCTCAACCACACCACCTCTTAGCCCTACAAAGATAATTTAATTTATTATTTATTGATGTTTTGGAGTATCATGATTCTTTTTTCCTTATAAATGGGATTTACAGGCAATAATTTGAGGCCAGGAAGCAATAATATGGGTGCAAAATTGACTAGTGTGCCCTAATTTGATTGCTGGAAAACTATCCAGATGACAGGTGTAAACTGTTGGTGCAATAATATACCTTATCTTTAAATTTTTGGTACTAACAAGAATAAAAATAAAATAACCATAAAAAATAATAACAATAACAATAATGTTATGGTTCACCCAATAATTTCATAAATTTGATTTTCACTAATAATTTTAGATTCCTTTTTTCCCCTTGTTCTTTGTGTTCTCTCACTCCCACCCAACAAGTAGCTATCTGCCCCACAATAATGCAATTCCAAGAGAAGTCTTGTTAGCTACTCAATGAGTCAAATACACATGAAGGATAAAGATGTTTAACTGTTTATGGTTTGTGTTTTGTTTTCACAGGAAAACTAACAGCCAACATTAAGAACTAATCACATTTCACAAAGATTAGATGCCATCAAGTATTATATCACAATTTCGAATTTGGGCTGTCTGGTTCTGGATAAGAAAAATGATTGTATTAAAGCAGAGGATTTCGAACCACAGGAAATTTCAACATGGCGACAAGTTTTCCATTGTAAATTTATGTTCAGTTTGGTGGTTCAACAATTTACTCCATTGTGGGCTCTGTAGCAGATTCAACAACCCCATCACTACCATTTAGACAACATATGTGTTGTACACCACTGGATGGATGCCTTCATTTAACTCGTGTCTGTCTCACTCATATTTATTCATCTAATTAAGTAACTTCATTTCTGATGAAACACAATCTTTTTTCATATTTGCATACGACTAGTACTGATACTCTAGTTTAGCCGATTAGTTTATAAATACGAATATCCTATACACCCGACATTTGAGATGCTTCGTGCACAAAAGACAATGTAATTTAATGAAATGTTTTAGTATTCAACTATAACCTAATAATTAGGGGGTAATTGCATGTGCCCCGTAATCAAAGAAAAATGTGGCCTCCAATTTCCAGAATTTGTCTTGATCTTGAAAGTTGCCATGTTCTCTCTGAAAGATCACTTTCCATGGCCAAATTTCCAAGGAATCTACCATTCATCCTCTTCTAAACACACATGAGGGAAATAGAAAGAACAAAAGATGTTGAGTTGGCTGAGAGTTTTTGCACATATAGGATTACATAAATGGTGTAGTGACAACTAATTATAGGTGCCCAAAAAATGGGGAATTATAACATGGAATTGGCTAAGCAAGTTGCATGTGACCAACCTAACCACTTGATTGGATCAATTGCTCACGTCATCAATGCCACCATTTCATGCTAGTCTCCATGATTGAAAGAACAAACTTGATCCTCATTTGAAAATTTGTTCTTTGAAATTATGTTTCTTCCTACTTATTTCTATCTATTCAATACTTTTATTGTTCGATTATATCGCCTCGCATATCAGTACGATACCAACTTTCGTGTACAAACACAAGATTTAAAGAGTATTATAGAAAACAACATGTTAGACATGTTTAAAACAAAAGAAAAATTGAATATACAAGTTCTCGAACTTGATAAGAAACACGAAATCAGCATTCCATGAACTCGAGCACAAAGTTTCTTTCAACAAGAGAAGGCTTGTGATATGGGTTTCTTTCAACAAGAGAAGGCTTGTGATATGAAATGTTAATGTGTAATTTAATTAAAAAATGCAGCTAATCTTGACACTTGAAAGTTGAAATAACATAAATCTAGTTTCCCGACCATTTTTCTTTCCACTGTTTCACATAGTGATGGCAATAAAACCCGAACTCGCGGGTACTCAATCCGACCCAATCCGGCCAATGCGAGTAAAATCTGTGTTGACAGGATTTGGGCCGGGTTCGGGTTTAAACCCGTTCACTACTCACCGGGTTGGGTTGAATTTTAGTTTAGGTAAACCTGCCCCAAGGGTATCCGTCCACACCCATATAATGAAATAATTAATTTTCCCGGTATATTTAATATTCTAAACAACTAATCTTCTTTATGTTTGTGGAGATATGTCTAATTGTGTAGAATGAAGTTGATATTATCGAGTGGAGAGTGAAGAAGCTTAATTGACAAGGAGGAATAAGTTTTCAATTAATCATGTTGTTTATGGATAATTTGTGATTTGCTTCAATTTTCTTTAGTTTTCTAGATTGGTGTTGAACAATTTATATGGTTAATTTGTGATTTGCTTGAATTTTCTAGAATTTCTTTATGAATAATTTGTATTGAGAGATTGATATTTGACTTTTATTTTATAGAAACTTGTTATTGTAAATTTTGTACGACAAAAACCCATGAGTACCCATTAACCCTCGAATACCCAACGGGTTATATTAGATTTGAGTTTTTCAAATCCAGTGAATTTTACCCAGGTTTTTTCCACAGATAAACCCATAAATTCGGCAAAACCCGACCAATTGCTATCCCTAGTTTCTCACTGAGAGATCCACTATCCAGTATCGACACAACCTCTACTCCCACTAAGAGAGCCCATGAGTAGCTAAACAGGCTGGCTTTTCCAGGCCCAGGTCACGGCCCTGTAACTCTCGCGTATGAATGATTCACCAACAGGTCAATACCGGCCCACCAACCAGAATACCCTCAGGCTTTCTCTTCAATATATTTGGATTTTCTACAGTAACAAATGACAAATCACTACAGTGAGTAAAGGTCAGACAAAATAGTTCTCTATTCTCTAAAGAAACAATCCGGCGATGCTCAAATTCGAACAGTAAGTTTGGGAGTCGTTAGATCAGGCGTTCCATCCACTCTTCTTTGTTGGATAGACGCGATAACAATTTATAAATAAAATGTCACCGCATCTATCCAACGATGAAGCGTCGTCCAATCGGGCGACGGCTCCCACATCAGGGGAGTGAGAACTATGAAAGAGTCAGCGGGTTAAACTTAAAAGCGCTAAACAACAGAATCTTTGACCTTTGCTTCTGCCTTGGGTTCATTGCTCTTCACGGGGAAGTTCCCCTCCGGCAGCCTCTGCCAGAGGTAGTTAGCCCCATCGATCCACCGCGGGAGGACCAGGAACTTGTCGTTCTCCAGCGCCCAGCGGGACTTCTTGGTACCGGGATCCATGGCAACAACGTGGGTCACGGTTGGATCGACTTCTGTGGCGCATGTAGCTCCCAGATTCATGGCCATCTTCCACAAGGGGTGGCTCTCTGCTGGAAACTTGGATGGGAAGACCCTGCTGAACACGATTCTGCAGCCCTTCAGCACGTCTTTACGAACAGTGTTCAGGACCTGTCTCACGTCCCTGCGACCAGTTTGGCCGGCCAATTCCTGCAAGGAGTCGAAGCCAGTTTCTATCTGAGTGCACGGACTACAGTAACATGTAGTAAAAGGAGGAACGATATAGGGAGCAACATACGTTGAAGAAGATATGGTGAACTCTCCTCAAGACGCTAAGAACAGCTGCAAGTGCTCCCTCAGGTTCACTCTCGTCGCTTTTCAGCTGAGAGAGGGAATGACATCCGAAACCGAATTGCTGACAGCTCGAGGCGAAGAAATGGTATCTTTCCATCAGTATCAAGTTGTCTCTATGGCTTGGCCATACCTATATCACACAAAAACTCTTTGTCAGAATATGATTAAAGCGAACAGACTTCATTTGTTTCAGATAAACGTTCAAACTTGTGTTGACAACTTAAATAATAGTCTGAGGGCAGATGTACCCACATGTTCGGTATCATCGAGAATGAGGACTGCACTTTCATCTCCCAGCACCATATCGAGACTCTTCTGATGTCTCTGAGCGCCATCGTTGCGAGAAATCACTTTGGTGTGGAAGTATTCATTTCTCGGGTCAAGCAGTTTGGCCATTTCCAGTGCATAAGCCTTGTCTCCCATGGTGTATATATACATCTCGAACATTTGACTAGCTTCCTTCAGAAAAGTGTGCACATAGGGCCTAAGCTTGGTCATCATGTTCATGAAGCTTAACCGAATTAGGCTTCCATTTTGACAGTCTGTGCATTAGACAAAATGAAATTACACAAAATCAATAAAATGCAACAGAGCTGGCTAACTAAAGAAGATAGTGGAAATGGTTATATAATTCAAATCAATATATATTAGAGCTGACCTTGTATGGAGTCTATCTGATTATTTAGATAGTCTTCTTCTGGGACCATATGCTTAAGATGAGTAGAATTTAGCAATGTATGATCCAAATCAAGTACCAAATAAAGCTTCCGACGGCACAACACACTCTTAGTATCAGTATCTCGCCATCGAGCCACTTCCGCATTCCCGAACAAGATTTCCTGCAAGGTCAGATTTTATCCAGAATCATCACATCAAATAGAAAAGGGTATACGGGCAGTCGGGCATATAAGGAAGTTGGACTCAATCTATATTTGTTCTCAATATGATTTGGAAAGAGTATACATCAGCCATTTACAGAAATGCATACCTTGTGTATGTTTCCAAATGATACCCCAGCCACCTCAACCTGTGCTCCACAACGTACGCACAATTTACCAAAAGACCCTGGATGTGCACATTCATTCTTGCTGACAGATGCACTGGATGATGTCTCTGCAAAATACAGGATCAAAGGGCAGAAACTGAGTTGCTGGACATTCTACACCATTTAACAGTTGGCAGAAGCAAAACAGATGCGCGGAAAAGATAAAAATTAGGAACTAAGATAACTAGCATGGACATGTTGCGAGAGCAGTCAGTAGATAAACGATGGTGAACAACAAGAATCAAGCACATGTAACACATTACATTGATACAAGACTTGTTAGAAGCCGGGAACCTAATATGAAGCTAGAAGTTTTACACTAAAAACTGTACCCAAGTTCTGCTTTACGATAACATGGGAAGCTGACCCCTCAAGACCATCTCCATTTTGCACTATCTCCGCCTCTGGTATCTTTGTCCTGCAGATCAATTGCTAAGTGATTTTCACTGGTATGATTCCAAAACAAAATCCCAATTACTCAGAGGGACTCAAGTCACCCAACAACATATACAGCAAGACATGATTGTTGATCCTATTTAGTTCAAACAGAACAGACAATACGAAAATAAGTGAAAGGAAAAAGGCAGATATAACAGCAAATGGAACAAGAATACCTAACGTACTTCAGAGTAGTACCTCTTGCTTACAGGTTGATCATCATCTTCGAATTCTTCCTCGCTCGAAGAGGAGGATGAAGAACCAGAAGCAACCTCCCTTTTAGCTTCTCCGTCGTCTTCATTCTCAGATCCGGCATCCAGATGACCGTCAAGGAATTCAGCAAAATCATCACTGCCAGATGAGCTCACCGGAGAATCGGCCACGAGACTCATCTGCACCACCAATTCAACACCATTCTCAAATTCAGAAGACACAAAATGGAAAGGAAATCCATGTCTTCCATTCCAACTACGATGTTGTAACCTGAATCCACACACAGCACATTCCAAACAATGCCACCGAGCGAGTTTCACCAAATACTCTGAAAGTTCAAAACCGTCACTACAGGACATTTCCAAAACAAGCTCCTAGATCACTAGTCGACATATCAGAGGCGCACCGCCGTGTAATTAGATCAAAATCGCCGTAAACTAGTAGTTCTAGTTCGCCTATAGCTTGGAAACGGAGAGGAACCGACCTGTGCGGAAGTTGCGCACCCTGGGCTAGACTGAGATCGGAACCTCGGGACGTCGATTCACGTTTCAACCGCCGCCTAACGGAAAAAAGGTAAGTTCGTTCTTTCTCTGCCTTCACGCCGGAGATAAGGAAAGTTCCAACAAGAACAGTAATGTCAATCTATTGCACGTGGGCGCGCGTTTTTCTCTGAATGCTGATATTCCGAATCGCGAAAGAGAAGACGGATAGGAAGCGCCGGCTGTCGGGATATTCCGTCTCCGTCGAGTGATAGAGTGGTTAATTGGCTGCGTTAGGGTTTGAATCGAATACGAGTGATTTGAGAGAAGCGCGAGAACGTACGACGGTCGCCGCGTCGGCGGGAGAAAGAGAAGAGGGAAAGAGAGAGCGGTTATTCGATCGGAGCAATTTTCTGTTATTAATTAGTTAATAATAAAATAATAATCAGTAAATAAAAAGGAATCGGATGGGCTGATACGTGAGCTTGAAAGTGATATTGGGCCGTCTACAAGAGAGTTGTCCATGGGCCCTTATCGATGGGCTCGACCCAACACTTAAGCAAACAAAATGGATGGAGAAAAGGCATTGAAATTTAATATATAATGATTTGGTCTCTATTCAATTGCACCGGATCAAATTGATGTTTGGATCGAAACATACCAAACCAAATATGACAGTGTTCACTTTAGGGATGGCAAACAAACCCGAACCCACGGGTACCCACCCGACCCAACCCGGTCAACGCGGGTGAAATCCGTGTAGACGGGGTTTGGGTTTAAACCCGTTCACTATTCACTGGGTTGGGTTGGGTTTGGTTTTAGGTAAACCCAACCCGTGGGTACTCGCCCAAACATATAATTAATTTTCTTGGTATATTTAATATTTTAAACAACTAATCTTATTTATGTTTGTGGAGACATGTCTAATTTTTTCTTTCTAATTGTGTAGAATGAAGTTTGTGTTATCGAGTGGAGAATGAAGAAACTTAATTGAAAGGAAGAAGCCTTCAATTAATATGTTATTTATGGATAATTTATGATTTACTTCAATTTTCTTGAGTTTTCTAGATTGATGTTGAACAATTTGTATAGTTAATTTGTGATTTGCTTGAAATTTCTAGAATGGTGTTTTAAATATGGATAATTTGTATTGAGAGATTGATATTTGACTTTAATTTTGATAGGAACATGCAAGACGGGAGACATCTGGACCATGAAGGAGAACTCTAATAGCTCCTGGGCTTGGCGGAAGATTCTGAAGAAACGTTCACAGGTGCAGTCTCTTCTTAGCAGGCAAGGAGATTGTGCCTGGTGGGATGGGAAACCTATGGAAAAATACTCGGTAAAGCGGGTCTGGGAGTCTCTACGTCCAAAGAGCAGCGCTGTGGAGTGGTATAAGTTAGTCTGGGGGCCAAATCATGTGCCTCGTTTTAGTTTCATTGCCTGGTTGGTTTTACTTGATGGTATTACAACGAAGAGTAAGCTGTTGCGTTGGGGGAAGGTGAATGAGGACAAGTGTGTCCTTTGTGGCCTAGAAAGTGAAACAAGAGATCATCTTTTTGTTACTTGTGAATATACTCGGCTGTTGATGCAGGGGTTTGTGCAGGATGGGTTGGCCCGAGGCTCTTGGGTGGCGACTGTGCAGGCTCTATGTGCAGCAGTGCAGCGTGATTCTCAGCGTGGGATTAATGTTAAATGGTGTCTATTTGTCACTTATATTTGGCAGGAACGCTGTAGGAGATACCATGATGAGGCTCCGCGAGAAGTTCATGTAATTAGAGAATTAATGTTGAGGGATTTACACATGTTAGGTCTGCAGTAGTTGGAGGGTAGGGTGTATTGATGCTGCTGGTTGTTTTTAGTCGCTAGCAGAGTTCCTTTGGTTCTTTTCTTTTGCGTGGGGATGCTGCTTTGGTATCCTTGCTTTTCGTTGTATCTTGGATTGCTGCTTTGGCAATTCGTTACTTAATAAAGGGGTAACTGATTCAACGAAAAAAAAAAAAAAAAAAAAATTTTACGAAAAAAACCCGTAGGTACCCATGAACCCGCGGATACCCAGCGGGTTGGGTTGGGTTTGAGTTTTTCAAACCCAGTGGGTTTTACCCCGGTTTTTTTTCACGGATAAACCCATGGGTTTGGGTTTGGGTTTGGCAAAACCCGACCCAACCCGACCCATTGCCGGAAAAAATCCCAAAGTACACTAGTTCTTAAAAAAAATTCCCAAAATACATAAGTTATAAAAAAAATTCCAAAAGTACACATGTTTGAGCATCACCGTTTTAGACAAAAGCGGTGAAGGTCATCACCGCTTTTGACCAAAACGGTGAATACTTCACCGTTTTTGTCTAAAACGGTGATGTATTCACCGTTTCAAACTAAAACGGTGATTGCTTCACCGCGTGAGACCAAGGCGGTGAAGCACTGAACTGCGTCCAAACTTTAAAACAACGTAACTTTGTGCTCGGTTATCCGATCGTAGCGAATTTTTTTTGATTCCGCATATCAAAAAAAAATTCGCTACGATCGGATAACCGAGCACAAAGTTACGTTGTTTTAAAATTTGGACGCAGTTCAGTGCTTCACCGTTTTGCTCTCACGCGGTGAAGCAATCACCGTTTTGCTCTCCCACGGTGAAGCAGTCACCGTTTTGCTCTCACGCGGTGAAGCAATCACCGTTTTTCTCTCACGCGGTGAAGCAATCACCGCCCTTCTCTGACGCGGTGAATGCCCAAACATGTGTAGATTGGGAATTATTTTCATAACATGTGTATTTTGAGAATTTTTTTTAAGTACATGTGTAACTTGGGATTTTTTCCCCATTTCCCCACGTCTAGAATAAATTCAGAAAGCAAGCAGAAGGAAAGAAGGAAGGCATTTTACTAGAACACTAGTTATATATACAGACTAGAACATATGTATATGTGTTTCTACAGGCAGAGAGAGGTTATTCAGAAAACAGAAATGACCTCAGGAGGCAAAATTGTAAGGGGCAGAAAGGAAGCCATTCCTTCCATACCCTCCTACCCCTAGAGTTTGAATGTCAAGGTTAAAAGAACCATGTACAAGTTGCCAACCCTTGCACTCCAAAAAGGATCAAGCTTTCCTAACACCCTGCATTTCCATTCTTGAGGGTCTTAATGGGGATCACCTTCTAGCAGAACAAAGCTGGAAAGTTTCGAGCCATCAGCAGAACTGATAACATTTCATGTGGCGAAACCCAGGATTTTAGATCTGCTAACGAAGTGTATGCTCATCGGCAGGCTTCAGCTGACTTCCATAAGGTCCCCCCATCTATAGCCTGGTCGCTACTCGATATTGGATGGCTTTTGGGGTTTGGACTTTTGAGAATGGCAAAAGAGCTGATGGACTTTTAAGGTCTGGTCATTTGACACTCCTGGCCTGGACTGCAGTTTGCAGCAACGAGTTGGTCTGGGATGGATCTACAGCTACTTGGTTCTTTTCGGACTCTGCTGCTTTCTTCATGTCAATTTCAAGCTGCTTGCAGTTCTCGTCATGAGCTTTGTTGAATAGTCTCACGAAGTTGACCAGAGTCGAACAAACTGCACTTATATGTTTTATTAGTCATTATAGTGGAAAGCAGATCAAGCCCAAAAGTTCTTACAGGTATATGAAGATTACAGATTTTAGAAAGTACCTTGTTCGAATGGGCAACGGGCTGGATCTTCTCCAAAGTAAAGAATCAATGCATCCACATTTCTTCCCTAATAACAAGATCCAAGGCATTCAGGTGGTCTTAGACTATTAACATAGAACAGTTCACTTGAAGGTGAAAATTGAGAGGATGACATACCACTCCAGAGTACAACGAAGCCAGTGACCTCACTTCAGCTTCAGCAAATCGGAGGAACTCTTTAAGCGTCTGAATAAGGAACGACTTGATTAGCCAAAGTGCATAAAAGAAGCCACTTCCAGTAGTACATCTTGTCGATGAACGTCTTTAGCCAAACAATGTTGCCTCTAAAATGACATGCAGGCCTTACATCTGGCTCAAAGAAATTAACAAAACGCTGGAGGCAATAATGTGTTTACCTTACAAAAATTCTCAGAAACAAAACCATCATTCTCCGAGGAAGATAGCTCTTGCATGACCTTTTCAAGTCCTTTGCTTATCGCTTGCATTTCTTCTGCTAAGAACTTCAATTGTACCTACGTTTGGATACACACATTCAGCCACGAGATTGCGAATTCCCAAAATTTGCTTCCACAGTTATAAAGGCGAACCCATGGTACCTTGGACGCAGGTTCCAAACTGGGCAGGTCTTTGGAGAAGTCAAGAAGATCCGGTAACTTGTCAGCAAGAACCTGCCCCCATGGTAAGCACAGTGAATTTTAAGTTCTAGTGGAATCCTGACGTTGAGTAGCTTTTTATTGGCAGTATATTCCCATGCAGCACCTCATTTTTTACCTTGCAAAGATAGTGCATGAGAGTCATTTTGTTGTTCCTTGCCCGGGTATCGGTCAGTTTAAGTAGGCTGTCCAACCTAAATCCAATAGCAGCACCTAAGAGAAAAGGAAAAACGGAATAGAACTGCTTCAGCAAAAAAATGTTATTGTAGAATGATAAAAAAAATTCAACATGACCAAAGCAGGCTTACCCCTAGCAGTTCCTTGGTTCAAAGCATTACCCAATGAGAGAATAGTCTGCATGATTCTCTTTAATTTGGCAGAATTCCTGATCTGATGAGGGCAAAATTCCATGTTAGAGTAAATAAGAAATGTTGAGGTTGACCTGAAATAAAAGTGTTCATCATCAAGAAGAGAGCAACGACAGTAACTTGCCTGTTCTGCGGCAGAGTTCACTGTATTTAGGCTATTCCTGAGGTCAGAGACCTAGAATTCAAAAGGGGAAATGGGTGAACATTAAAACACCTGAAGTCGCGAAAAGATGACTGAGAGAACTCTGTTCATTTTCCTCACCTGAGAACGGAACTGCATCTTAAAAGCAAAAACTCTGAGCTTAGCTTCTACTCTTGGAACTTTCATTAACTCTAAGAAGAACTGCAGAAAGAATTCACAAAAGATATCCATGATGAGAATCTGGGTAAAATCAGCTCACAGAAAAATACAGCAAAATGTCCCCTTCTGAGATTTTAAACAGATGGACGAGAATAACACAGACCTGTTCACACTTTCCCAACTTTTCCTTGTCTCCAGTGTAGCCCTGAAAAAAATGAATAAATACATAGGATAATAAGTAAATACTGATGAGAATGCCTCTTGATGCTGCTAGTGGTTTAAGCATTTGAGGATGAATACATCCACATTCAATAATGATTCACCTTAAGGAGTTCCATTTCCTCTTTTGTTGGACAAAACTTGATCAGATTTTCTACTTGATCTACATCTAATGCGGAATCCTCCAGAGCTAAAACATAACCCTATCAGAACATAAAACGGGAGCAACGAGGAGGTTAGAGAATATCCTGATGCAACATACGAATAGCTAAAACTAGAAAGATTTTCTGCCAAAAGCAAATATCCCAAACTATAAGCAGGGTGAATCCTTCCAGAGCATGAGGCAAATATATGCTACGTAAGCTATCAAAAATTGAAGGTATAAATGGAAATCAACCATTTCAATAACATGTAATTACCGTCAATTCATTCAGTGGAACCTTAACCTTCGAAAGCATGATTTCACAGTTGTAGGCTCGTCTGTGGTCAATCTGTGGACAAAGAAAGAAACAGATATGTGAATCAGCAAAACACAGCAACCCAGATAACCATTTCATTCATTCTGTACCCACTTCATAAGCTACAGGGACCTTCAGCTGCCTGAGTGCATGAACAATAGAAATGCTTATTAATAGTAGAAATAACAAGCTCAAGATCCTCAACATTGTCAACTCCTCTGATGAAAAACAATTCCAAAGCCAATAAGAGACCAGATAGGTGAAATACCAGCTGCACTATCTCAGTCTTAGGCCCACGAGAGCTACGTGCCATCGATTTCCCCCCTCGATCTGGATTTGGTGCTGCTGCGGCAAAAAGACTCTCAAGTTCTGACATATCAATCTCTGGAGCTCTTTGAGAATAATCAAAAAAAGAAAAATTAGACTTGAGATATATCGCGAGAAACTTACAACAAAGCATTCCTCCAAGTGATATTCTACACTTTTAAGTATAACAAACTTACTTGGAGGCTTCTCCTGATTTTTGTGCCTCAGCCCACAAGCTTCCTTGCACAGCTCTTGTTAACTTCAACCAATGCAAAGGCTTCAACTTTTTCTGATTGTTCTTTATGGTGCGGGACAACCGTCCCTTTCCCCCCAGGCCAGCACTCATTGGCGGAGCAGGAGATGGCGGCACAGTTGATGGAGGTCCAGACAAGGCATCGCCACCACTACCTGCTCTTGAAGTACCATTAGCCAAAGGCGGAGGAGGTGGCGGCGCCGGTGCAGATGGAGCAGTTGCAGAAGAACGAGGAGGGGGAGGAGGAGCAGGAGGTGCTAAAGAATGAGGAAGTGGTGGTGGCGGTGGTGCAGAAGAAGTATGTCTAGCAGCACCAGGAGGAGGAGGTGGTGGAGGAGGAGCATATTGGTGCCTGGAGGTGGGAGGAGGAGGGGTAGATGAAGACACAGACGGTACAGGAGGAGGAGGAGGCGGTGGCGGAGGAGGGGGTGGAGCAGGGAGTGCAGAAGAAGGTAAAGGTCGCGGAGGTGATGCCGTTGAAGGACTTGTAGCTTTCTCTGGACATGGAGGAGGTGGTGGTGGAGGTTTAGCTTTAACAGAATTCTTCTCCAAAGCAGAAGTTGATGGAGGAGGAGGTGGTGGTGGTGATGGTGGGGGAGGAGGTTTAGCTTTAACAACATTCTCTTCCAAAGCAGAAGTTGATGGAGGTGGTGGTGGCGGTGGTGGTGGTGAAGCAGAAGGGAGTAGTGAAGTCAAGAGAGCCTTGGGAGGAGCAGTATGGTGGTTTGCTGATGACTGTGCACACAGAAGGAGCTTCTCAGCTGCAGAAGAGATGGCAGGTTGTAGTTGAGTACTTGATGATGAATCAGAAGCACTTCTGGTCTCGGCGCTGCAAATGCCACTGCTGGTTGCTGGTTGAGGCATCTGACTGGAAACATTATGTTCAGCTTCAACCGATCGAGTAGGTGAAACTGAATTTGGTGAGTTCAAATGGTCCAAATTTTGCGCTAGCGAGTTCTTCAGCATCCTTTGCAGTGAGATCTCGGCATTCTCAAGTGAGGCATTGTCACGTAACAAATCTTTAATGGTGAGATCCAAAGGAGTCGTCGGTGGTGCCTCTTTATCAGTCTCAAGATTTTGCTGCTCATCCGGGGAACTTTTTGTATGTGGAGATAACTCTGGCGAGACGAGACCTTCAGCATTTTCCCATGAGAGTAGTGAGTTCCTCGTCAACCGTTCTCTCTTCCTTCTGTCATGATGCATTCCTGGACTGCTTTCCCGACTCTGAGGACTTTGTTCTGCACTGTGTCCCAAATCCATGTCATGCATTTGCTGGAGCATGTTAAATGCTACATCTGCATGTGGTGATGACCAGTCAACACTGCTGAATATCTCATGAACTTTGGCAAAAGCTTCAACTGGAAGGCCATCCTTCTCCTCAAGGCCAGAGAAATCCATAGAGATAACAGAAGCATGGGCATCAACCTCTGAGAAAATAATCTTCAAACAAAGGAAATGGTCTAGGTTACCACAAAGCTCATTACAGAAGACCTATCATTTCCATAAAATGAAGTATGACTGAAAAACTATTGTACCTCAGCTCTGAAGTCCTTTGGAAATAGATCTTTAGCATCCCACAATATGTCGATTTCATCACGGTTGAGTATCAAGATGTTTGACCTGATGAAAGCCGTATTAAAAACTACTCGAAACATCATTTCTTCGCTCTCCATTTCGTCACGTATGCTGACACACTCCATCACAACATCACCTTGGATTGCGCAATGGATATCAATTTTAACTAGCTGACATTCTGCCTGCACTCAGACACAGTGATTCAACAAGTGATTTTTTATAGAAGGTGAAGGAACTGCTCTGTTGCTTAAAAATGTGATTTTTCACAAAGAATTTGGAAACGATATTTCTATCCATGAGTACAGAATACTTTTCATATAATGCACGAAGAGCTCACTAGTTGTTTGGCTGGGTGTATCTGAAAGGGTGATATTAGTAATAACAACAATTGAACAAACATGTCATTTCTGGGTTAAAGTTGTTATATTGCAGCGTATTTCGAATCATGCCTATAATCTTAAATGCATCAAAATATGTCATCTCAAATGCTTGGATGTACGAAATATATTAGAAAATGCATCTAGAGAAGCGGGTCCCACGTATATTTTCTTCACAAACAATGGTTTAAAAAACGCACTGAACCAAACAATGGTTTCACAAACACATCTCACATAGTAGCATGCAAACTACATAGCATGCAATTTAGGTAAACAACATCCTGTTACAAATACATCGAACCTAATACAGTCACTGTAATCCACCTTCTAAGCAAATTCTCCGTTGCCAGGGAAAGTTGCAGTTTCATCAACGTGATTCACAACAGAATCGAAAGCTAAAAAGCTTTACCTGCTTATAAGCCCGGAAAGTGTTGTTCTTCTTAGGAGTGGAGTACAAGAACTTAGGAGTTCTATCTGAAGCAAGAAAGGGATCCTGTCCATATATACGGAACACAGGACGACAACCACCCTCTCTATCAAAATTTGGGATGAATCTCATGATGACACAGTCCAAGTTGAGAGCTCTATCCAATGGTGGCCACTCTGTAGCCACGTTTCTTCTTGAAACATACTGTAAATATCTCAGCTGAGAAGGAATAGGGTTTAGAGGACACAAGAACTGCAAAAGCTCACGGGGAGCTTGTCTATAGATCATGTCCAATGTCTTCTGCTCTCCACTGTATTGCTTTCTATATATCAACAGTGCTGCCAGCATAAAGGCGAGAATCGGCCAACCACCTCTTTCACAGTGCATCAGCAGCAAATTTTGCTGTCCGAGCGAAAGCCAACTTTCCCCTGATCTCAAGAAATGGTGAACGACTTCCATTGTGAGCAAAGGGCAGCCTTCGTAGTGCCGAGGATACTCCATGATAGTCATGTCGTATTCAGACAACACATCAGCAATCTGACTTTGTGTCTCTCCTTCACGGAAATTGAATGCTAGGTATGATGCATCAGGGAAGTGGTCTTTAAGCTGGCCAACTATTCCACATATGTACCCTTTGTAGTCTTTGTCTTGCCATGAATCCATTGTAAAACAACAATCGAAGACTGTATTTGTTCATGAAACACATTACAGGTAACATATCAGAACAATATTTCATAATCAAGGCACACCGATTTGCAGAGAACATCACTTCAGAGATATTATGATAACTCCTCAAAGACCAGCTCTTTAGACAGTTGATTCCAGTTAATTACTTCATTCATGTAAAGTATAGGAAATTCATGGCAAATTCATGCAAAGGAAGATGGCTACTGCACAAGCTAGACAGCCAATGGTCCCTCTCAATCTCCCTGGCAGCCAAACAAAAGAATCTAACTAGTTTTCCACCTCAAGCAACAAGGGAACACAACATTTTACCCTACCAAACCAAGAGTATTCCAAAAAGGTTCAAGCTTTTTGCATCAGTACATCCTACTAAGCCAGCAGAAGGTTTAAAGAAAACGTATGAAGTGAGGAAAAGAACAACGCACCGTAGACCCGCTCACAGATCTCAAGCAAGCCCTCAGGCGGCTTCCTGTAGAACAGTTTGCGAAACAATGCCATCTATCTCCCCCTTCTCCTCTCGTCCCTACGCCCTCCTCAAAAAGCTTCTCCTTTCCTCTTCTGCTTCTTCAATTCATCCCCAAACCAAAACCCAAAAACTCATTCCAGCAACAGAACCCTAGGCGGCAACTGAAAATTGCTATCCCGGCAAAGTGGTTGGTTGGTTGGTTTGTTGAATCAAAACCTTCGCTTTCACCTAAAAGGGGTTTCGAGGGAAGATTAACGAAAAGGGGGTTTGTACTTTGCTGCCTTCTGTTCTCAAGTATTACCCAAGAAATGATTAGGTTAACAGACAGTGTGGGAAAGGAGCGGATTTTTTTGGTTGGGGAAATTGATCGAATGATTGGCGGGCAAAAGCTCTCACGGTCCCTTGTAAAGGCGATTGCTTTCCTTTCCTCTATCAGCTAGCTTGCCTTGATTGAAGGCTGGCTCCTAGGGCGCAGGAGGTCTGAAATCGCCTCCCGCGGCTGGATTGCGCCGACGTGGCGGCGTCGCCCTCCGCCAGGTGGAGCCAAGTTTTTTGTCTTTTATATGTGGGTTTGACGTACGAGGAGTAAAAATGATTTGGACAGTCGGATTTGGATAGGCATTCGTGCTTTTGCCTTTGGCTTTTACCAAGAAGAACGGATTCGATAAAGAAGAGACTGAAATTAATAAACAATTACGAGTTCGGCTGTTTTGCTTTAAAAATAAGTTGCAAATTGAATTTGTATCCTAACTTTTCATATGAACATTAAACTTATCCTATAAATTTCGTAATATATGGCGAGTTCTATCGTATCCAGAGTAAAATGTGGGGTACCGCATATCTTGAGTATAAAAACGTTATTTAGAATTGAATTGACTGATCTTTCAGGCATGATACTACATTCTAACCCTTAAAGATCAAAATCTAGATCTTAATTCTCTAATTCTTATACGCAATGATCAATTTAATTATAAACTATAATTGACGGTTATGATTCGTCCAAATATATGCAAAAATGAATGCATCATCTTAGGGTTTATAGTTTATGATTTAGATAATTAGGACCTAGGGTTCACTCATTGAGGGTTATGGTATAGTATCAGGCCCAACAATCCTGCTAATTCAAGGTCTAGATAGTATTTTCAAACTCAAGTTATGCGGTACCCCGGATTTTACCCGTGTTTGAATTTAATCGTATATAAAACTTATTCGAAGACAATTTACTTATCATATTCATATTTAAATAAAATACGGTATTTCAAGTAAAACAATAAAAAATCATATTTAAATATAACATTTAACTTGAATATCTAACTATTTATAAATGAATACAACAAATAACATCAATTTAACTTTTAAATTCGCAAAGTTATAATAAATTAAATGTTATTAATTAAATTCTCTAGAACAATGTCATTATGTTTAGACACCGTAATTTCATCGTGCCTACTATATCAATGATGTTCACACCAGTTTCATAAGCATTACGATTTCAATCAAAGTTCACTCAACCGCCATTTCAAACCATGCTTCTAGTTCTACCATTTAGGGCTTCTTTGGGACCATGTCCTCCGGTGAAATCGTGCCTTTGGATAGCGAGTTTAGACAGCCAGTTTTCAAAGGAAACGCAAACGCCATCTGTCCAGGCGATTCTATCCACAGGAAAATTGGTGGCCGGTGAACGCCGAAGTACGCCACAGAACTATAAAGTCCACTCCTTTAAACCTCTTAAAACCCTCTGCCGGTCTGCCCTTTCTCACCGTTCCGATAGCGGGCGGCGAGAGGAGACTAGAGCCATCCACCTTCCAAAAGGTTGCTACTTTGCCCACGAAGGTGTAGTACGACCAATTGCTCGCACCATCCAATATGGCTTGCAGGGTTGCCGCTCCAGATTCTGTCTTCCTCTTTGTGGTATTGCCCCCTTCGTCTCGCATTTCTTCCTCTTCCAGCAAATTGTGGTGGTCGCCTTCATTTCCGAGGTTGAATTTTGGTTTTGATCTTCTGGGTTTGTCAGGGAGCCAATCAGAGACCAATCAAGACCCAAAAGTTTGCAGCTCAATGCTCCACAGGTTTGTTACGCTGTCTCTTCCTTATTTGCCTTACAATTGTTTCTTCAATCAGCTGGACTTGCATTCAGTAAATTGGTGTTGAAGTTTCGTTCTTTTGGCTGAATGCTGTTATGGGCTTTTCATCTATTTCAAATGGGATAGCTTATATGGGCAGCTGGAGCCGGATTTGCAACTGCAAATCAGTATTTTGGTTGAATGCTTGCTTATTCTATCTTAGTCTGAGTTTGACTGAATCAATCTTGTGAAAATGGAGAATCAATGACAATGTGGTATCTATGGACTGTTAAATTTTCCAATTGTAGTAAATAGTTGCAGTAGGACGTATCATCATAACTATTAACTAATGGACCCTTCACCCTTGTTTTTCCTTGCATTTCTTTAAGTTTTGGTGGTGACTGCCTAAAATGCTCTTCACAATCATTTCATGTCATGTGTTACTCCTCAATTATGTAACCAGCTTTCATTGCTTGGAACAGTTGAAGCTATTCAGAACATATATCCCTGCTTTATTGGCACTGAAAGGAATCACATTCGTGTTGGTAGTATAACTAGCTTATAGTAACTCAATTTTGATAGACAGGCTTCAATGGCTGTGCATGGGACCCTCTAATCCGCCAGGGAGCAAAACAAAATAGGCTTCTAGTTCACTCGAGAAGGTCTAGAACTGTACAAGCTGTGGCTTTTCCTGTTGTATCATCGTCAGCTGATGGTGCGGAGTACAGGAAACAGTTGGCCGAAAGCTATGGCTTCAGGAAAATCGGAGAAGACCTTCCAGACGATGTTACACTAAAGCAGATCGTCGATACACTACCAAAAGAGGTAAGGTTTATGTTAATTGTAAGGCACATTATATATTGTTTCCCACCGAGTCTGGCCCTTCAACCTGGGATGAAGTACTTGATATGAGTTTCATTGCATATTGGCATGCTCATATCCATGGACTGTTTTCTTATTATTCTTTGCCTTCATTTGTACCAAGGTGTTTGAGATTGATGATGCTAAAGCATGGAAATCAGTTTTAACATCAGCAGCTTCATATGCTTTGGGGCTCTTAATGATTTCAAAGGCTCCTTGGTTCCTACTTCCCTTCGCTTGGGCATGGACCGGGACTGCAGTAACTGGGGTTAGTTTGCTCTTTTCCGTCCTTCCTCTGATTTATAAATCCATGAACTCACTTTCTTTGTATTTCTTAAGTTCTTTGTCATAGGTCATGATTGTGCTCACAAGTCATTTTCAAAGAACAAATTAGTGGAAGATATTGTAGGAACTCTAGCCTTTCTACCATTGATATATCCTTATGAACCATGGAGATTCAAGCATGAAAGGCATCATGCAAAGACAAACATGTAAGCTCAATCCGTATCTTCTACATCAGCTCTTGGTTACAGTGTTCCACTGATTTTGAACTTGAAATCATTCCTTTGTTGTTTTCATATCTTCAGGTTAGTTGAAGATACAGCTTGGCAGCCTGTTGACAAAGAAGAGTTCGATTCATCCCCTTTCCTTCGGAAGGCGATCGTATATGGATACGGTCCGTTCAGGCCTTGGCTGTCTATAGCTCATTGGTAATGCTCCTCTATAACGATATCGAGTAGCTGTCCCCTCTCGCTCACATTGCATGTACGATACTATACCAAGCAAATAACTCAAACCATCTCAATCGGCAGGTGGCGCTGCCATTTCTCTCTGAAGAAATTCAGACCGAACGAAGTGCAAAGGGTGAAGATAAGTTTAGCATGTGTGTTTGCATTCATGGGGATTGGTTGGCCCTTGATTATCTACAAAGCTGGGGTTGTGGGATGGATTAAGTACTGGCTAATGCCATGGTTGGGGTATCACTTCTGGGTAATGCCATTGACACCACCACTCGAATGGACTATTGTTTGTTGGTTTGCGCCTATGTTCTGATAATCTATTTGATTCTCCATGTGTTTGCAGATGAGCACTTTCACAATGGTGCATCACACCGCCCCCCACATTCCCTTCAAAACTTCAGAAGAGTGGAATGCAGCAAAGGCTCAGCTTAATGGAACCGTTCATTGCGATTACCCCCACTGGTGAAGTACCTCCCTTCCCCTTGTCTGGCTTCCATCGGCGAGTTCTTACACTCATGCTTATCTGAGCAACCTTGTAATGCTGCAGGATTGAGATCCTCTGCCATAACATCAACGTCCACATCCCTCATCACATTTCGTCACGAATTCCAAGCTATAATCTCCCTGCAGCTCATCGATCCATCCAACAAAACTGGGGCAAGGTAACCCTTTTTCTTTCTAAGCAAATATCACTTACTACGTATCGGAAGACAACCTTTTGACCCTCTTCCCTCTCTTATTTCTTGTTTCACAGTACTTGAACGAAGCTACATGGAACTGGCGGCTGATGAGAACCATAATGACGGTGTGCCATGTCTACGACAAGGAGCAAAACTACGTCGCCTTCGACCAGCTCGCCCCTGAAGACTCTCAGCCGGTAGCATTCCTCAAAAGAGTGATGCCTGATTATGCTTGATTTGCTTAGTTTTCTTTCCCCTCTGTTATAAAGCCATTCTTCTTGTCCTAGATCTCATGTTAAGGTAAAGGATGCTACATCCCAATTCTTTGAATGCTAGAAAAAGGCAGCTCCCACCAGGATATTACCTGTAAACACACGATTCTGATACATTTGGAGCATTATCCAGTTTGATACAGGACTAGACAGTTGGACCGATCAAACCATATATTACTGACCAAATCGGTATATGATACTATCAGGATACTGTCACTGCGGTTGATAAATGATGACCAAAGGACAACATAAGCATCATAGATTAATGTTTTGTTCAGCAGTATACTGAAAATGATTTATCGGTTAGTATCAAAAGCGTTATTAATTTTGACTCATACAAGTTCTTGATCTCACAAATGTCTCCGGCCGGTGCAACTAGTATTTGCAAAACAAAATTAATGCGAAATGTCTTCTCTCGTTCCCAGGTTCAAGCATTCTACCGCGAGTCTACTACAGCAATGGCGGCTCAAGCAAGTGGATCATCTCATGGGTAGCAGTCGCAGGGTGGCCTATGCTTACTTCCAGGCTTCAACCTCTTCCCTCTTGGCTTCATCAGTCTTCTCCACATTGTGTGGTTAATTTATAGTTGACAGCAAGTTGAACGCCTCCATGATCAACTCCATCGTCCTGAACTCCTGATCGCTGCTGCCAATCCATGTCGAGCATTGCCCTGACTCGTACTCCAACAGGTAGTCAATCTGTGTATTGCATTCCCAGGTACCTTAGAAGGCACCATATGTGGGGAGTTCTACGGTACCCAAAGTGGTACCATCACAGATTTCTGCGATTAATCCGAAATGCCATTTTCTTTCGATTCTGGAAGGCTACAGATCACGAAATCAGGCCGAGGCTAATCTCCATCGATAATGAAGTATATTGATCCTATTCTCCACGGATGATAAGTCCGTTAAGCATCGATTTGAGCCAGTTTATTTTCGGATGGCATTTTCGTAATTTCTTGGGCGACGGAAGGCCATTTTCTTTGGATATTGAAGTCTACAGATCACGGATTCGGCCTGAGCCTATTATCCAACGATGATTGAGTCCATTAAGCACCGATTTGGGCGGATTTATTCCGGGTCAATTTTTGGCATTTTCCAAAGGGGTAGCATCACAGATTTCGGGCGATTTATTTGAAAGGCCATTTTCTTTCGATTCTGGAAGGCTACAGATCACGATATCAGGCCGAGGCTATTCTCTACCGATAATGAAGTATATTGATCCTATTCTCCACGGATGATAAATCCGTTAAGCATCGATTTTAGCCAGTTTATTTTCGGATGACATTTTCGTAATTTCTTGGTCGACGGAAGGCCATTTTCTTTGGATATTGAAGTCTACAGATCACGGATTCGGACTGAGGCTATTATCCAACGATGATTGAGTCCATTAAGCACCGATTTGGGCGGATTTATTCAGGGTTAATTTTTGGCAGATTCCAAAGGGGTACCATCACAGATTTCGGGCGATTTATCTGAAATGCCTTTTTCTTTCGATTCTGGAGACTACAGATCACAAAATCAGGCCGAGGCTATTCTCCACTGATACTGAAGTGTATTGATCCTATTCTCCACGGATGATAAGTCCGTTAAGCATCGATTTGGGCCAATTTCTTTTCGGATGGCATTTTCATAAGTTCTTGGGCGACGAAAGGTCATTTTCTTTGGATATAGAAGGCCACAGATCACAAATTCGGCCTGAAGCTATTCTCCAACGATGATTGAGTCCATTAAGCACCGATTTGGGGGGATTAATTCCGGGTCAATTTTTGGCAGATTCCAAAGGGGTACCATCACATTTTTGGGGCGATTTATCCGAAATGTCATTTTCTTTCGATTCTGGAGGCTACAGATCACGGAATCAGGCTGAGGCTATTCTCCACCGATAATGAAGTGTATTGATCCTATTCTCCACGGATGATAAGTCCGTTAAGCAATGATTTGGGCCAATTTATTTTCGGATGACATTTTCGTAATTTCTTGGGCGACGAAAGGCCATTTTCTTTGGATATTGAAGGCTACAAATCATGGATTCGGCCTGAGGTTATTCTCCAACGATGATTGAGTCCATTAAACACCGATTTAGGCGGATTTATTCCGGGTCAATTTTTGGCAGATTCCAAAGGGGTATCATCACAGATTTCGGGCGATTTATCCGAAATGCAATTATCTTTCGATTCTGGAGGCTGCAGATCACGGAATCAGGCCGAGGCTATTCTCCACCGATAATGAAGTCTATTGATCCTATTCTCCACGGATGATAAGTCCGTTAAGCATCGATTTGGGCCAATTTATATTCGGATGACAATTTTGTAATTTCTTGGGCGACGAAAGGCCATTTTCTTTAGATATTAAAGGCTACAGATCACGGATTCGGCCTGAGGCTATTCTCCAACCATGATTGAGTATATTAAGCACCGATTTGGGCGGATTTATTCCGAGTCAATTTTAGGCAGATTCCAAAGGGGTACCATCATAGATTTCGGGCGATTTATCCAAAATGCCATTTTCTTTCGATTCTGGAGGCTACAGATCACGGAATCTGGTCGAGGCTATTCTCCACCGATAATGAAGTCTGCTCATCTTATTCTCCACGGATGATAAGTCCGTTAAGCATCGATTTGGGCCAATTTATTTTCGGATGACATTTTCGTAATTTCTTGGGCGATGAAAAGCCATTTTCTTTGGATATTGAAGGCTACAGATCACGGATTCGGCCTGAGGCTATTCTCCAACGATGATTGAGTCCATTAAGCACCGATTTGGGCGGATTTATTCCGGGTCAATTTTTGGCAGATTCCAAAGGGGTACCATCACAGATTTAGGGCGATTTATCCGAAATGCCATTTTCTTTCGATTCTGAAGGCTAAAGATCACGGATTCCGGCCAGGATATTCTCCACCGATAATGAAGTCTACTGATCTTATTCTCCACGGATGATAAGTCCGTTAAGCATCGATTTGGGCCAATTTATTTTCCGATACATTTTCGTAATTTCTTGGGCGACGAAAAGCCATTTTCTTTGGATATTGAAGGCTACAGATCACGGATTCAGCCTGAGGCTATTCTCCAACCATGATTGAGTCCATTTAGCACCGATTTGGGAGGGTTTATTCCGGGTCAATTTTTGGCAGATTCCAAAGGGGTACCATCACAGATTTCGGGCCATTTATCCGAAATGCCATTTTCTTTCGATTCTGGAGGCTACAGATCAACGAATCAGGCAGGCTATTCTCCACCGATAACGAAGTCTATTGATCCTATTCGCCACGGATGGTAATTCCGTACAGCATCGATTTGGGCCAATTTATTTTCGGATGGCATTTTCGTAATTTCTTAGGCGACGAAATGCCATTTTCTTTGGATATTGAAGGCTACAGATCACGGATTCGGCGTGAGGCTATTCTCCAACCATGATTGAGTCCATTAAGCACCGATTTGGGCGGATTTATTCCGGGTCAATTTTAGGCAGATTCCAAAGGGGTACCATCATAGATTTCGGGCGATTTATCCAAAATGCCATTTTCTTTCGATTCTGGACGCTACAGATCACGGAATCTGGCTGAGGCTATTCTCCACCGATAATGAAGTTTATTGATCCTATTCTCCACGGATGATAAGTCCGTTAAGTATCGAATTGGGCAAATTTATTTTCAGATGGCATTTTCGTAATTTCTTGGGCGACGATAGGCCATTTTCTTTGGATATTGAAGGATACAGATCACGAATTCGGTCTGAGCCTATTCTCCAACCATGATTGAGTCCATTAAGCACCGATTTGGGCGGATTTATTCCGGGTCAATTTTTGACAGATTCCAAAGGGGTACCATCACAGATTTCGGGCGATTTATCCGAAATGCCATTTTCTTTCGATTCTGGAGGCTACAGATCACGGAATCTGGCAGAGGCTATTCTCCACTGATAATGAAGTCTATTGGTCTTATTCTCCATCGATGATAAGTCCGTTAAGCATCGATTTGGGCCAATTTATTTTCGGATGGCATTTTCGTAATTTCTTGGGCGACGAAAGGCCATTTTCTTTGGATATTGAAGGCTACAGATCACGGATTCAGCCTGAGGCTATTCTCCAACGATGTTTGAGTCCATTAAGCACCGATTTGGGCGGATTTATTCCGGGTCAATTTTTGGCAAATTCCAAAGGGGTACTATCACGGATTTTGGGCGATTTATCCATAATGCCATTTTCTTTCGATTCTGGAGGCTACAGATCACGGAATCAGGCCGAGACTATTCTGCACCGATAATGAAGTCTATTGATCCTAAACTCCACTAATGATAAGTCAGTTAAGCATCGATTTGGGCGAATTTATTTTCGGATGACATTTTCGTAATTTCTTAGGCGACGGAAGGCCATTTTCTTTGGATATAGAAGGCTACAGATCACTGATTCGGCCTGAGGCTATTATCCAACGATGATTGAGTCCATTAAGCACCGATTTAGGCAGATTTATTCCGGGTCAATTTTTGGCAGATTCCAAAGGGGTACCATCACAAATTTCGGGCGAATTATCCGAAATGCAATTATCTTTTGATTCTGGAGGCTACAGATCACGGAATCAGGCCGAGGCTATTCTCCACCGATAATGACGTCTATTGATCCTATTCTTCACAGATGATAAGTCCGTTAAGCATCGATTTGGGCCAATTTATTTTCGGATGACATTTTCGTAATTTCTTGGGCGACGAAAGGCCATTTTCTTTAGATATTGAAGGCTACAGATCACGGATTCGGCCTGAGGCTATTCTCCAACGATGATTGAGTCCATTAAGCACCGATTTGGGCGAATTTATTCCGGGTCAATTTTTGACAGATTCCAATGGGTACCATCACATATTTTGGGCGATTTATCCGAAATGACATTTTCTTTCGATACTGGAGGCTACAGATCACGGAATCAGGCCAGGCTATTCTCCACCGATAATGAAGTCTATTGATCCTATTCTCCACAGATGATAAGTCCGTTAAGCATCGATTAGGGCCAATTTATTTTCGGATTGCATTTTCGTAATTTCTTGGGCGACGAAAGGCCATTTTCTTTGGATATTGAAGGCTACAGATCACGGATTCGGACTGAGGCCATTCTCGAACGATGATTGAGTCGATTAAGCACCGATTTGGGCGGATTTATTCCGGGTCTATTTTTGGCAGATTCCAAAGGGGTACCATCACAGATTTCGGCCGATTTATTCGAAATGTCATTTTCTTTCGATTCTGGAGGCTACAGATCACGGAATCTGGCCGAGGCTATTCTCCACCGAAAATGAAGTCTATTGATCCTATTCTCCACGGATGATAAGTCCGTTAAGTATCGATTTGGGCCAATTTATTTTCGGATGGCATTTTCTTAATTTCTTGGGCGACGAAAAGCCATTTTCTGTGGATATTGAAGGCTACAGATCTCGGATTCGGGCTGAGGCTATTCTCCAACGATGATTAAGTCCATTAAGCACCGATTTGGGCGAATTTATTCTGGGTCAATTTTTGGCAGATTCCAAAGCGGTACTATCACAGATTTCGGGCGATTTATCCGAAATGCCATTTTCTTTCGATTCTGGAGGCTACAGATCACGGAATCTGGCCGAGGCTGTTCTCCATCGATAATGAAGTGTATTGATCCAATTCTCCACGGATGATTAGTCCGTTAAGCATCGATTTAGGCCAATTTATTTTCGGATGACATTTTCGTAATTTCTTGGGCGACGAAAGGCCATTTTCTTTGGATATTGAAGGCTACAGATCACAGATTCGGCCTGAGGCTATTCTCCAACGATGATTGAGTCCATTAAGCACCGATTTGGGCGGATTTATTCCGAGTCTATTTTTGGCAGATTCCAAAGGGGTACCATCACTGATTTCGGGCGAGTTATCCAAAATGCTATTTTCTTTCGATTCTGGAGGCTACAGATCACGGAATCTGGCCGAGGCTATTCTCCACCGATAATGAAGTTTATTGATCCTATTCTCCATGGATGATAAGTCCGTTAAGTATCGATTTGGGCCAATTTATTTTTGGATGGGATTTTCGTAATTTCTTGGGCGACGAAAGACCATTTTCTTTGGATATTGAAGGCTACAGATCACGGATTCGGCCTGAGGCCAATCTCGAACGATGATTGAGTCCATTAAGCATCGATTTGGGCGGATTTATTCCGAGTCTATTTTTGGCAGATTCCAAAGGGGTACCATCACAGATTTCGGCCGATTTATTCGAAATGCCATTTTCTTTCGATTCTGGAGGCTACAGGTCACGGAATCTAGCCGAGGCTAATCTCCACCGAAAATGAAGTCTATTGATTCTATTCTCCACGGATGATACGTCCGTTAAGTATTGATTTGGGCCAATTTATTTTCGGATGGCATTTTCGTAATTTCTTGGGCAATGAAAGGCCATTTTATTTGGATATTGAAGTCTACAGATCACGGATTCGGGCTGAGGCTATTCTCCAACGATAATTAAGTCCATTAAGCACCGATTTGGGCGAATTTATCCTGGGTCAATTTTTGGCAGATTCCAAAGGTGTACTATCACAAATTTTGGGCGATTTATCCGAAATGCAATTTTTTTCGATTCTGGAGGCTACAGATCACGGAATCTGGGCGAGGCTATTCTCCACCAATAATGAAGTCTATTGATCCTATTCTCCATGGATGATAAGTCCGTTAAGTATCGATTTGGGCCAATTTATTTTCGGATGGCATTTTCATAATTTCTTGTGCGACGAAAGGCCATTTTCTTTGGATATTGAAGGCTACATGTCACGGATTCGGCCTGAGGCTATTCTCCAACGATGATTGAGTCCATTAAGCACCGATTTGGGAGGATTTATTCCGGTTCAATTTTTGGCTGATTCCAAAGGGGTACCATCACAGATTTCGGGCGATTTATCCGAAATGCCATTTTCTTTCTATTATGGAGGCTACAGATCACGGAATCTGGCCGAGGCTATTCTCCACCGATAATGAAGTCTATTGATCCTATTCTCCACGGATGATAAGTCCGTTAAGCAATGATTTGGGCTAATTTATTTTCGGATGGCATTTTCGTAATTTCTTGGGCGACGAAAGGCCATTTTCTTTGGATATTGAAGGCTACAGATCACGGATTCGGCCTGAGGCTATTCTCCAACGATGATTGAGTCCATTAAGCACCGATTTGGGCGGATTTATTCCGGGTCAATTTTTGGCAGATTCCAAAAGGGTACCATCACAGATTTCGGGCGATTTATCCGAAATGCAATTATCTTTCGATTATGGAGGCTACAAATCACGGAATTAGGCCAAGGCTATTGTCCACCGATAATGAAGTCTATTGATCCTATGCTCCACGGATGATAAGTCCGTTAAGCATCGATTTGGGCCAATTTATTTTCGGATGGCATTTTCGTAATTTTTTGGGCGACGAAAGGCCATTTTAATGAATATTGAAGGCTACAGATCACAGATTTGGCCTGAGGCTATTCTCCAACCATGTTTGAGTCCATTTAGCACCGATTTGGGCGGATTTATTCCGGGTCAATTTTTGGCAGATTCCAAAGGGGTACCATCATAGATTTCGGGCAATTTATCCAAAATGCCATTTTCTTTCGATTCTGGAGGCTACAGATCACGGAATCTGGCCGAGGCTATTCTCCACCGATAATGAAGTTTATTGATCCTATTCTCCACGGATGATAAGTCCGTTAAGCATCGATTTGGGCCAATTTATTTTCGGATGGCATTTTCGTAATTTCTTGGGCGACGAAAGGCTATTTTCTTTGGATATTGAAGGCTACAGGTCACGGAATTCTGCCTGAGGCTATTCTTCAACGATGATTGAGTCCATTAGCACCAATTTGGGCGGATTTATTCCGGGTCAATTTTTGGCAGATTCCGAACGGGTACCATCACAGATTTCGGGCGATTTATCCGAAATGCTATTATCTTTCGATTCTGGATGCTACAGATCACGGAATCATGCCGAGGCAATTCTCCACCGATAATGAAGTCTATTGATCCTATTCTCTACGGATGATAAGTCCGTTAAGTATCGTTTTGGGCCAATTTATTTTCGGATGGCATTTTCGTAATTTCTTGCGCGACGAAAGGCCATTTTCTTTGGATATTGAAGGCTACAGATCTCGGATTTGGGCTGAGGCTATTCTCCAACGATGATTAAGTCCATTAAGCACCGATTTGGGCGAACTGATTCCGGGTCAATTTTTGGCAGATACCAAAGCGATACTATCACAGATTTCGGGCGATTTTTCCGAAATGCCATTTTCTTTCGATTCTGGAGGCTACAGATCACGGAATCTGGCCGAGGCTGTTCTCCATCGATAATGAAGTCTATTGATCCTATTCTCTACGGATGATTAGTCCGTTAAGCATCGATTTGGGCCAATTTATTTTCGGATGACATTTTCGTAATTTCTTGGCCGACGAAAGGCCATTTTCTTTGGATATTGAAGGCTACAGATCACGGATTCGGCCTGAGCCTATTCTCCAACCATGATTGAGTCCATTAAGCACCGATTTGGGCGGATTTATTCCGGGTCAATTTTTGGCATATTCCAAAGGGGTACCATCACTGATTTCGGGCGATTTATCCAAAATGCTATTTTCTTTCGATTCTGGAGGCTACAGATCACGGAATCTGGCCGATGCTATTCTCCACCGATAATGAAGTTTATTTATCCTATTCTCCACGGATGATAAGTCCGTTAAGCATCAATTTGGGCCAATTTATTTTCGGATGAGATTTTCGTAATTTCTTGAGCGACGAAAGGCCATTTTCTTTGGATATTGAAGGCTACAGATCAAGGATTCGGCCTGAGGCCAATCTCGAACGATGATTGAGTCCATTAAGCACCGATTTGGGCGGATTTATTCCGGGTCTATTTTTGGCAGATTCCAAAGGGGTACCATCACAGATTTCGGCCGATTTATTCGAAATGCCATTTTCTTTCGATTCTGGAGGCTACAGATCACGGAATCTAGCCGAGGCTATTCTCCACCGAAAATGAAGTCTATTGATCCTATTCTCCACGGATGATAAGTCCGTTAAGTATCGATTTGGGCCAATTTATTTTCGGATGGCATTTTCGTAATTTCTTGGGCGATGAAAGGCCATTTTATTTGGATATTGAAGTCTACAGATCACGGATTCGGGCTAAGTCTATCTCCAACGATAATTAAGTCCATTAAGCACCGATTTGGGCGAAATTATCCTGGGTCAATTTTTGACAGATTCCAAAGGGGTACTATCACAAATTTCGGGCGATATATCCGAAATGCCATTTTCTTTCGATTCTGGAGGCTACAGATCACGGAATCTGGACGAGGCTATTCTCCACCGATAATGAAGTCTATTGATCCTATTTTCCACAGATGATAAGTCCGTTAAGCATCGATTTGGTCCAATTTATTTTCGGATGGCATTTTCGTAATTTCTTGGGCGACGAAAGGCCATTTTCTTTGGATATTGAAGGCTACAGATCACGGATTCGGTCTAAGGCTATTCTCGAACGATGATTGAGTCCATTAAGCAACGATTTGGGCGGATTTATTCCGGGTCAATTTTTGGCAGATTCCAAAGGGATACAATCACTGATTTCGGGCGATTTATCCGAAATGCCATTTTCTTTCGATTCTGGAGGCTACAGATCACGGAATCTGGACGAGGCTATTCTCCACCGATAATGAAGTCTATTGATCCTATTCTCCACGGATGATAAGTCCGTTAAGTATCGATTTGGTCCAATTTATTTTCGGATGGCATTTTCGTAATTTCTTGGGCGACGAAAGGCCATTTTCTTTGGATATTGAAGGCTACAGATCACGGATTCGGTCTAAGGCTATTCTCGAACGATGATTGAGTCCATTAAGCAACGATTTGGGCGGATTTATTCCGGGTCAATTTTTGGCAGATTCCAAAGGGATACAATCACTGATTTCGGGCGATTTATCCGAAATGCCATTTTCTTTCGATTCTGGAGGCTACAGATCACGGAATCTGGACGAGGCTATTCTCCACCGATAATGAAGTCTATTGATCCTATTCTCCACGGATGATAAGTCCGTTAAGTATCGATTTGGGCCAATTTATTTTCGTATGGCATTTTCGTAATTTCTTGGGCGACGAAAGGCCATTTTCTTTGAATATTGAAGGCTACAGATCTCGGATTCGGGCTGTGGCTATTCTCCAACGATGATTAAGTCCATTAAGCACCGATTTGGGCGAATTTATTCTGGGTCAATTTTTGGCAGATTCCAAAGCGGTACTATCACAGATTTCAGGCGATTTATCCGAAATGCCATTTTCTTTCGATTCTGGAGGCTACAGAGCACGGAATCTGGACGAGGCTATTCTCCACCGATAATGAAGTCTATTGATCCTATTTTCCACAGATGATAAGTCCGTTAAGCATCGATTTAGTCAGATTTATTTTCGGATGGCATTTTCGTAATTTCTAGGGCGACAAAAGGCCATTTTCTTTGGATATTGAAGGCTACAGATCACGGATTCGGCCTGAGGCTATTCTCCAACCATGATAGAGTCCATTAAGCACCGATTTGGTCCGATTTATTCCGGGTCAATTTTTGACAGATTCCAAAGGGGAACCATCACAGATTTCGGGCGATTTATCCGAAATGCCATTTTCTTTCGATTCTGGAGGCTACAGATCACGAAATCAGGCCGAGGCTATTCTCCACCGATAATGAAGTCTATTGATCCTATTCTCCACGGATGATAAGTCCGTTAAGCATCGATTTGGGCAAATTTATTTTCTGATGGCATTTTCGTAATTTCTTGGGCGACGAAAGACCATTTTCTTTGGATATTGACGGCTACAGATCACAGATTCGGCCTGAGGCTATTCTCCAACGATGATTGAGTCCATTAAGCACCAATTTGGGCGGATTAATTCCGGGTCAATTTTTGGCAGATTCCAAAGGGGTACCATCACAGATTTCGGGCGA